ATGCAGTACCGGATTTAAAATATCAGCAATATCAAGGTACAGTAGCATTATACATAACTCTACCAGGTTGCCTACCCTGTAGGCTGTCGAGTTTGTACATTATTCATTCATTCATTAATTCACTCACTCACTCACTCACTCACTCACTCACTCACTCACTCACTCACTCACTCACTCACTCACTCACTCACTCACTCACTCACTCACTCACTCACTCACTCACTCACTCACTCACTCACTCACTCACTCACTCACTCACTCACTCACTCACTCACTCACACATTCACTCATTCAATCAGTCAGTCATATACGTCAGTCGGTAGCCGTCATCTTAATCCCAGAGCCGTGCATTTTAAAATCAGTGTTTTATTTCTTGCTCAACAGACGGAGTGAGAGTTGATGTTGGCATTTACCAATCGAAGACAGGTATTATTACATTTGACGCCGATAACCCAGTGATATGGAAAGGTATACGTACTGTATTATCGATTATTATTAATACAAATATATAGCATGTCTATTCTTCGGTTGTGGTTGTGCAGTTCAATAATGACGAGAAGCAGAGTATCAAGAAGGAGATTTAGTTAAAATGAGATTAGACTATTATTGGAATTGCTTATATGTACGCATGCACGGGAATTAAGTTCTAAACGACGATAACAACACACGTTAAAACGAAAAGACTCATGGGTAGACGCTTGTTTGTAAACAATGACACACTGTGGGGCATCTGACGCATGCGCAGGTGACGATTCCCCGCTTTAAGAATGTTTTTTTTTTTGCATTTTTAAAACAAACGCTTAGACATTTCTCTTAGAACGTTTGATTATTCCAATCACTCCTTAAATAAAAAAGGCAAGTCATCTGTATTCGTTTTGCGAATGATTTGTTTTTTATCTCGGTGATTTAACTTTCAGAGAGCTTGCGTTTGATGTTACATAACATTAATTTTCCATAACTAAGATTACAAAGGCGAACACTATCCAAGCCAAATACCAGATATAACACCGTCGCGTTATCTTCCTAGTGAAATGAGGCAAACACAAACTCTACCATGCTACATATATCGGGAAGACATCTTGACAAGCGTTCAAGAGCATATCGAGCAGAATCATTTTTTTTGTATAACCCTAGGGGCAGTGGCTATTCACGATGTAATAAACGTATGAGCGGCTCGGCCAATACCCTGACTGCCTTTCACCGCAGTAATTTGACTATTCATAATTGTTTGCAGGAGGAGAACCACCAAACGACCACATTCATTTGGAAAATGTCATCCTCAAAATACCATTCCACATATATGTGCTTATGTCTTCATGTGCCTTTATTGGTATTACGTGCGCTCTGTGTTTCCTTGTCTTCAATTTGAAATATCGACATAAAAGGTAGTATACCTTAAGTTTAACTTATGCTGTTCATATTTCCAATTCCCTAATTTATAATCACCAAATCTCAAGACATTTTTCTCTTCTTTGCACGTTTGCACTGCATTCTGCGACACCGCTGGTTATTTCACCACACATGCTACATACATTTTACCGTTTTGAAGTCGCTCACGTAGTGCAAAAATATGTCATAATCCTATATAACATGAACAAAAATGCCAGACAACCAATCAAATAGAAATATACTATACGACATCAACATACAGTAATATCGTTCATTTCATGTAAGTGAAATCAGCTTGGATATAAGTTAAATGACGTATTTGTCACCGTCTATTGTTTTTCTGACATACATGTATGTGGAAGAATCCATACCATAGTTTATAAATTCAGATTTCTGTTTATATAACATCACATGGAGCGAGTCTATTTTTTTTCAAACCTATTATAGACACACTGTATTTGATTGACGTGTTTCATTTGTTTTAAAGAATAATTAAGATGTCGTCACCAACAATCAATAACATCATTTTGGTGGGATGCATCGTGACTTATCTGACAGTGTTTATGTCTGCATTCGAGAGTGCGCAGTTGGAGTCAATCACGTACTGTAAACTGAGTACGTATTTATTGATGATCGGGTTCTCAACTGCATACGGTGGATTATTTTCGAAAACGTGGAGAGTCCATGTACTGTTCACCAACAAAGAACTGAAAAAGAAGGTTTGTACTAACATCTGTTAATATAAACTGAGTTGATTTGTATCAATTTCAAATATTAAATTCCCTAGACAGACAGACGCCAGACAGTTCAACATATTTATATTTTTGAGGTCTTATACCCTGGTATATGTCTATGTGCATGTCTTTACAATGATAGATAAAAGCAACAATTGCCATTTTTCATTTTATCGTTCTACCAACTGATACACATTTTTTGGGGGTACGGATTCTCCATGATTGTATTCGTTTCCGCGGCATGTCTCGGTGATTACATACTAAACTAATACCACATACTGTTTTTTTCACGGCAGGTAGTAAAAGACACGCAACTAATTGTTCTTGTTTGTGTTCTTCTGTTTATCGACCTTCTTATAATTATTGTATGGGAATCACTAGACCCCTTGATGATTGATACGCGCCCCTCGCCGCAATTAGTAAGTA